CAACTCTGTAACGCTTGGAGATTATGATAGACCTCTGCGAATTTCGAAATTTGTTATTTCAGGAAGTTCTTCGGAGGTCTTGATTTGCTTAAGAAACGCATATTCATCTTTTTTCGTATGAAATTCCTTTTTTCAATAGTAATTGTTTGCGATTATACTTTTTGATTTTTTCTTGATCATGAATTCTTATTCGATTTAAATTTGTATCGTATGATATTAGCAATTCGGACAGCGACACGATCGCGTACACCAGAAGGAGTTCCTTCACCTAAGCATTTTCAAGTTGATAATTATCATTATTAATCACTCGTTTTCTCAAATATTTTTGGTTTTACGTCCTTCTCTTATCAGATCGAGGTTTGTTTTGTGACAGTCTTAAGATCATTGTCTGGCTGTGAACACAGTGACGATAGATAATAGATCCTCTGTAAGTTCTCCTGTGTTTGGATTTATTGATTCAACATCGGTACCGAGAACCACGAGTTTGACATCGTGTTTCTGAAAATTCACTCGACAAGCTTGTGTGCAAATTGGCACAAGCGGTCCTTGCGGGTAACCACAACTTTTTCGAAATTCCTTCATACACTCATTCCAGAATGGACTATCAAAACATTTCCATGTTCGCTCCATCTACGAAGAGTGCTCATAGGTATTCCATAATTCTTCTGTATCTTGTTTGCAGGTTGGTAATTCATGTGTGTCTTTTCGTGTTTATTATTATTATTTATTTTACACGATGATGCATTTTGAGATTGACAGGAAGGCTTTTTCACGACTTTTAAATCTTTTGAAACATTTTGTCATATGACATATGAACTCACCATAACGAATATGTACGTAAAGCGTAGATGCTGCGAAAATGAAACGAAATGATGAATACATGTTGTTACAGAAAATAACATAATCTTACGTATCATGTAAAAAAAAAACTCACCATGCAAGCATTACGTATTTCAAAAAATTTAGTATCATACGTGATAATAACTTTGAAAGTAAATGTTTAAATTTTGTTCACCTGTACAACACGTGTAATTGCTGAATTCATTTGAAAATGTTAAATTTAATGGTGAGAATGGACGTTACTACAAAATTACAATGAGCAAATACTTACCTTCGGAGCATAGACATCGTTCGGAATCACCATCAACATTTCCAAGTCAGATAATGCTTCCCTCAACAAGCTTGATTTGCATCTCTTGATATCACCTACTGATGCTTCTAACTTCTGGATGCCATCAAGTATAAAATTTATTATAATTTCTCGTTGAAATTGTTGGAACTCTAACATCTCTCACTTCACCTCAGCCACATACGCAGGAGTGATCAAATTCATTCGTACTCGACCAAACGATTGGAACCCAGTTCTATCGTGAAATTGGTTCAGATAATTTTTTATCATGATTGCGCCCGAGAATTTATTAGGCACGTGGACCACAGCAAACAATGATGGATGAACTGGACGTATAAAAAATGATTGACGACAACATGTTATTAAGATGTTGCCAATCATCATATTCATAATTTCGATTTCATCTCTCACCTTCTTTCCAAGGATGCACAGTTAAATTTTTTTTTTTCAACTGTTTAAACGTTTCCGACTCTCTTTCAGACACCAGCACCTCTAATCGGCCATCGGATTCCTTTGATAATTCCTTAAATCACGAGACATCATGTTGTTTAGTGATTCTCTTCATCGGATGGAAGCTCAATCGAACATGCATCAGTTACTTTAATCCTTTCGACACTTTGAATATGATTTTCGACGGCAATTATCCTCTTGACGTTGGTGTGATTAAGTAAAGCATATGTGAAAAATCCATAACCTTTTTTTAATGATTTGAT